CGCCTGGCGTTAGCATGGGCATCTCTGGCCTACTCATGGCTTACTGGCTGCCGCAGTAGACCTAAGAGTTTGCTTAGGTCTGCTGCGGTAGCTTGCGGATGGTCTGAACTACCAGCTAGCTTGCGACACGGCAGAAAGACAGGGCCCAAACAGGCTTCATCTGTTTGCCTGACTGTGCTGTCGCTAGCCACATTTCCTTGAGCGAAAAGGGGTATGTTCTGAGGAGACGGAACGGAGGTGACAAGCACTTGCTTAAGGGTATTTCCCTTTTTTTCCGTTTTCCTAACTGCCATTTTAGCTGTTCAACGTTAACAAAAGATTTTTCCTACTGCTACTGATGTTGCCGAAGCGCCGAACTTCTAGGCTGGTTGGCAAGTGACGGTGTCAGCAAACCACCGCTGGTGAGCCAGCTCCTTCGCCGAGTGTCAACATGACTTTCGTGGCTTCCGCACCAAAAAAAAAAAACGACAATGCTGTTTCCTCGTCCGCAAACCATCCTGGACGCCTAGTCAGCTACATTTAATACGAACATGATGTATATACGCCTCACACCGTATGTTGCAGCTGAATAAAAAGAAGGACAACGGCAGGCAGGCAGGACAAGTTCGCATAGAAAACCTGAAAGGAACACGGGAGAAAAAACACAAGTGTCGGACTAGATTCTCAGAAATCGGTAGTAACGATAGTGCTGTTGCTGGTATTGGACCAAGATGTGCAAAAAAGAACGATTACCCATCCGACAGACTGTCACACCCCACTTCCATCCCAGGGCGTTGCATCCAGAGTCGGATCCGGCATCAAGTACACTTTTCATTACGATTTAAGGGAACAGCACCAACAGAAAAGAACAGTGTAGTCTGGTGGGGTGCATTGTCGTTATTTTCGGAATGTATTTTCATTCCTTGCGGGAGTGTCGGCAGCACCGAAACAGGCAGAAGTTCATACCGCAACCAGTTGAGCAGAGTCGAGGCGTCTCAAATCCTCTACCCACCCAGCCAGTCTGCTATTTACCCTGCGTTCCTCGTGCTTCCTACCTGACTTGCCTGGATCCCTCCTCGAAGCTTCTTTTAGCGTCTTCTATCTTGTACTCAGGCTGCATGCTTACGTACACCAATTTCACATGGCGCACACGCCTGCAACATAGCACTGTGCAGTAAGCAGGCGCAGACAGGAAGATGCTTCAGACAATTCAGTTTGCGCTTACTTCTTCTTTCGCCCCGCGTATCCTACAACAGCCTTCTTTCCATTCGCAGGAGATTACACTCAGTCACATGCTGTGACATTGCAGCGATGAAACGAAAGGCGTTTCAAGCCAACAAACCCAAACGGGATAATGCTATTGGGAATCGGGTAACTAACAGAGTCCGATGCCAGGCAGCCGCCGGCAGATGGTCAGTATTTCTTTTGCGCTTGTCAACTGCTCTTGCTCTTAGTGCCTACACACGATACTATGCATTATTCCGTACATTATAAAATACAGTGAATACTCAGCAGCAGTGGTCAAGTTATACAAGTGAATATATACCTAGGCTGTGGTGGTGAGCGAATCAAGTCCCCAAGGTGAAACAGAAGCACTTAAGCCGGCACCGTCCGTCCGCCACAGCCAGCACCATCGTTGTACTGCCTACCTTCAGATCTCTTTTCTTGCGCCGGCTGTCTTTTTCGTTCGTGGAACAAAGCTATGTTTACCACTTACCGCCAGCCAGAGCATAGCAGCAGGAAGCCCCGTAGCCACTACTAGCACTGCTACGATCGGTGGACGAGCTGTCAGCGGAACTGCCTGTCGCAGCCTCCTAACAGCGAAGGCCGCCCTATCATCGGCAAAGGCACAGCGGTGAGAGGAAGTAGGATTCAGGAGTACGAATCGCCTGATCCAAAAGCTGACCTACATAAAGCCCGTAAGGGAGGATATCTCCCTCGTCGCTGGCTAGTTGTTTGAAGCCTGTCTCCGTGCTGTCAGGTCGGCTGCAGCTTCCAATCCTTGCGAAAAGCATAAACTCAACCGCTTCCGTGTCCTTTATGACCAAGAAAGAAATGAAAATGATTGTAAGGGGCTCACCCACAAACTGTTTCGCTTCTCTTACCTCGTCTCCATTTTTCCTTTTCCTTTTCTATGACATTACATCAAACACGATGTCACCACCGTTGCCTTCGTCGTTGGCGTCGCTCGATTTATACACGACATACGTCCCCTACCGGTTTCTACTTCAGCTTTGCTCCTCGATCTATTCCGATTAGATGAGGTAGGGGACCTCTGGCGGCCTGACTCGTACTTTCCTTCGACTGCGTGGCCGGGACTGGTGGAACCAGTAACAATCCTCCAGCACACTAACAACTCTTCGATACATTTCCCCTACATCCCGATTTTCATCAGGCAACGTAGGCACACATCAGAGAGATAGAGAGAGACAGGTGCGTGGGGAAAATAACATAATAGGCTGCTAGTAAAGTGCTAGCTAAGCACTATAATGCAACGGTGTTATATATGGGAAATCGGTGATCTCTCGCCCAGTTTGGCTTTATGCGCTGTATGAGTGTCGCCTTAGAGGACTTTTCGTGTGCTCACTAAATTCGCACGGCAAAGAGCGCCGGCGTTATTACGATAAAGTCGCTCATGAAGTGGCTTATTCTGCGGCGTAATCGCAAATCGGATAGCGAAAACTACATTAATTGCTTGAATGCATTGATTGATGCTGATCGCATCAATGTTTTCTAGTACCTTCTGACACTACCGCTACAGCCGTGACGCTACAAATACTATTCCTATAGTGGTTTTCTTACTTCATAGATCTAATAAATGTGGTGAAACGTAAAAAATTTCAAAAATCGGCGACATCAGCCTCTTGTAAATGAGTTCCTATTGAAGGTGATTTTCGACAAAGCAGCTACGCAAAAAAGTATCTTTTGCTGTGAAGAGGCCTCGCAGAAGAGGCAGAAGAGTTTGCCCCTGCCATTCCTCGGACACAGCAGGACGGACAAATTGTTAACTTCCGTAGCGTACAGGTTTATGCTGTGTCTGCTGTAGTCTGCTAACCTGGATCGTAGGTAACAAGCTACTCGAACTCGACTGTCATTGTTTTCGGCGACTGCCCGTTGGCACCAGTAGCGGTATCTGACCCAACTGGAAAGCAAAAACAGTGCGTCAGCAGAAGGAAGAACTGATAGAGGAAGATCTGCTGCGATCTGCACCGTTGGCTGACATCTAATGCGGAAAGCAGACAACCCAAGGGAACAAGGAAGCAAAGGAGACCAAAAAGCAAGAAGAGCTCGATACTACTACACCGGCATAGGCTGTGAAGGTTTTCGAGTGCTTCTAATGCAGATACCAAGCCGTAAAGCAGCAATGCTAGCCGTTACCGCGATGCTGCCTGGCTAACGGTAAATAGGTGGCACGGCTTGCGCAGGCCTTATGAGCCTTCAGGGCCACTAGAAGATATAGAGGAAGCGGAAGGTGATAGGCAAGGATGAAGAGGTAACGAGGCCTGGTGATCTGGGCGTAGCGTTAGGCAGTGAAGGTTCGGAAACGGTATGGTAGCTGGAAACGGATCGACTGAAGAGAAAACTGCGTGGTTCGACATGGCACCATCTGCAAGGGCCATTTGGACCTAATGTTGAGCACCTCGGGATCCTTACGTTTCCCTCACTTTGCCATTCTTTCCGCGAGCGCACGCGTGAGCGAAGGTCCGCCTTATCGGTTAGCGGTACCGTTACAACAGTTTGCACCATTGCTGCTTCTGCTGTTTTCTCCCATACGCCTCGCGCTTACCTTTTTTGGTAAGAGGAGACTAGAGGCACATCAACGCTAACCTAACGCTCATCTTCGAAAACCCCTCGTTCTGACGTCCGCTAGTCTTTTTACATCAAGCTCTAGCCCCACGTGGGCATCGAGTTCAGTTAGCTCGCCCTGACACAAAGCCAGCCACCGAACCCAGGACCCAACAGTAGCTGAGAACATCCGACAAGTTGCTTTCGTTATTTTCCCTCATATCTATCTCTGTTTTCGTACTCTAGCTCAACCAACGAAATGTTAGCCGGCTGGACCCAGATTGGCTTGGGGCTCGCCTTGTAGCCTTGTCTATGTAGTTCCCACGAACATCACCTCTTACGTCAGGGTCTCACCGCCCCTCTTGCTCAAACACCTCAGATGCACTCTATACACGAAAGGCCTCAATATTGCCGCCGTAGCAAACAACAGCAGCCCACAGCACCAATAGCACATCGAAAGACAATAGGACCGAGATCGACACGCACCTACTCGCGCAGACGCACACACAGCCAGTCAGAGTCATTCACTGCAAGAATAACAAGAGCGGGAGTTTATCTAAGATCCCTTTATACAACAAGCCACCCACTAAGCAAGAAGACTCTGGCCAGACGGGGTTACAAGCAAGACCGATAACGGCAAAAATGACGATGATGATGACGAAGACAACAACAACAGCAACAATGAGAACGCTAACAACAACGCAGTCCACTTCTCGTAGCCGGCTGCTTTGCCCGCCCTCTCTCCCGTGCAGCCCGACGTCGGTGGTGCCTCTTGGTGATATAGCAAGGACCCGCTCGCATGCTGCTGCTGCACTTAGTAACTGTTCTAATAGCGGCCTATCGCAAGTTATGGAAGGAGCTAAGGAACAGAGACAGGTGGTCTTTGAGTTCTGGTGCACGCAAAACTCGCAAAAACCAGACAAGGTAAATCTAACTCGGCAGAACGATAAATGCAAACTGCAACTAAAAGGTTGTCCGGCAAAAAGGCTTCTTCAGGCCAGAAGTTGCAAAGCTCTAGGTAGAGCAATTTGGGTGCGATTCAGAGATAATATGGTGAATCGTATTGTATTGTGCGGTGATTGTTACGACTTCTTATGTACAGGAAACGGTGATGATTCTTCTGCTATTCGTTTCTCTATTTCGTTTCTGTGTGTACGGTCAAAGTAACCTAACTGCTAATATGATTGCAGAAGGGCTCTATATAGTTGTTCAGGTCACTCATCATTAGAACTCACCTTAGGATGTGCGCGTTTTGGGAAGGCAATTTTCGGATCAATCTGAAAACAATGAAAATAAACAATCGAATGTTAACAAGGCAACATTAGCATAAAGTCATCCATATCTTAGTGCTTAATTTCGAAACACGGAACATCTTGAATTCAGATCGCGAAAGCCTGGTTTTTTTTAACACAGCTCGGTCATCGACATCTATGAACGTCAACGGGAACTCACTAAAATAACCGTTGTCGTTTCCCGCTAAGTTTATGAAAAGCTATTTATTAAAGTTTTTACGAACTCACGAAAAAACATATGTGCGCATACCTCCCAAAAAAAAAGGCTTACTGAACTAACTTATCACAGCTTCTTCTTCGTCGAAAAAAGTCTCCGCTTATCCGTACGCACTTGCGCTGAAACCCACAGGGTCCAATCTCATACGCCAGACTACCAATAATGACCACGTGTAGAAGAAATCTGGTCGGCTCCAAAGCTGCACGTCAACTATAGCTGTACGCTGTGCGCACTCGGACCTTTAACATTGTTCTTTATTGGCACACTTCCGACGTAAATTGGTGATTTTTCAATTGCTTCATCCTCGTTACTGCTGTTCCTACTGCTAATAGTTAGGCAGACGCGCCTCTGTTAAGGTGACGAACCATGTGAACACCCCCCTATAATTATGTCTGACCTTCGGTTCCGACGAGATTTTACAGTTTTTTTCCGAGATCTGACCCGCTTGCATGAAAAATTGAAACGTACGTGATTCAAACAGCATCCGTTTACGGCTGTGTTGTGTAAAGAGACCTGTGTGACAAACGCTTGCTTCTAGATATGCGTTTTTTTTTTTTACCACGCCCCGTGTGTGTACCTGGTTTAAATTAAATGTAAAGTGCACCTGGATACAATGGAGATATTTTTGTTGTTAGTCCAAGGGGTACTAAGATTACATGATGCAGTGGTATAAGGAAATAACATAGCCGTTGAATGAATATGTGAAAATATTACAATTATTATTTAGAATAACATCTGAGCATTCATACTACTCGCAAGAAGAAGCTATTTAACCGCGCGTATTTAAGTGTCGCTCCTATAGTTTCACGTACCTCGTACGTTACTGTAACGTAAAATGAAAACTGGATTAATCCCAACGATATATTTCGACGTTACCAGCCCTTAGTAGAAGCTGACGTTATTTTACAGTTAGCATGAATTTATCTGATCTTGCTAATTGCGTCGATGTAATGTTTTCTTTAAGAAAAAAAAAACTTCAAACCTCAGACTAACATCAACTATAAAATCTACCACTGTGACATGAAGTTTCACTTGCGTGAACATAAAGCAATGGAAAATTGCTCCAAAAAAGAAGTTCGAGGGTCGGACAATATCAGTTATGCAAATGTTCAAGTTTAACTTAGGGCTCAGATCACGTCTGATTGTTAGCCTTGGAACAAAAGCATTATTTGAAGTGTATACAAAAGCATGCTAACTAAATAATAAAACTGTATACTTAAGCGCCAAGATTGGCCTTCTGTTGCATTTATCCTACTGTGCTGATATTGGGTCGATAAACTATCGGAATAACTCCGTTACATTTAAACGACTGCTAAAGATCATATAGTCTAAGCTCGTCTGCGTAAAACCAGTGCACTACGCTCTTCGGAAGCGCATTTCTAAGATTAAGAATGAATACGCAGGGGAGACCCACATAAGAATCCTAGACAAGGATCTTCCGCCACTCCTACAAGGCATTTCCGCAACGGAATCAGCTTACGATTTATTTTCCACCGACATCGGCAGACCGCAAGATAGTAGTACCTTATTCCGTCTATCCTACACCTGGATACGTTTGCGTCAGCCAGAAACAAGGTACTCTAACAAACGCATGAAAAGAATCAAAGTACATGTGATCCAGGTTTTGCTTTTCATTTATGTATGTATGATGCCCACTCCTGGACCATCCCTGGATCATGGACCGAATAAACCTGCCCATACACAGATAAACAAATTAATTATGGCACTTTTTCTCAGACACTATGCCCAATGTGTATATTAGCTGTGTTTGATTTTTTAGTAGCAATGTCTTGTTTTCAGGACAACTGATGCTTTTGCAGGCATCCTCACTGATTATTCCTTCTCGATATAGGTATAAAGTCCTAATCTACATTGATTTTGTGATAAATAATTTATTCTATGCTGGTTAATTGCGTCGCGTAGCCTAACAGTGGTGTCGTTGTTGACACCAGTGTCATGTCCGTCAGTTCATAGATCGAGTTAGTGCATATGGCTAGCTTTCCAAGAGTAACTAAATTGACTTTTCCTTACACGTAGTCGAGTTTTTTTTTTACCTCACTTAGACATGCTTGATGGTAACGGGCGTGGCGGTAGCGGTGGGCAATCCCACAACTGGCAAACTTACCCATTTAGAAGCGAACACGGGGTAGAATGGCTTAGTGAGAAGGTGTATTACCCTATGGAAATGTGTGTGTGCTTATGTTATTACTGTTCCTAAAACTTTTGAAAGTCAGCAGTTCATCGGTGCGGAGTTTCGCAAACAACTTCCTTGTTGATGTTTCGCTTTGACCGACCTTCAAGGTCACAAACGCTCTCCCTAACTAGGTTATATGTGTGGCAGAAACGGGAACTTTAACAGAGATAAGGGCGTTAATAACCCAGAACGAAGTCGTCGACTCTTACGGACAACGGACTTAACATATTGTCCTCCAACTGCTACGTCTCTACCATTGTTGAGAGTTTCGTCCACAATTAGTAATACATTGCTGTAGTACTAACAAAATAAAAAGTATACATACGATAATGATAGAACGTCAATTAGTTGTTTGCTAATTTTTTTTTTTTTAATTAATTCCAGTGATTTTCATCAACGTATTTTGCCACAGCAGTAAATAACTTCTCTGGTAATTTTCGTTTCCTACCTTGGCTCAGTTTTTTTTGTTTTCTTTTATTCTAGTCTCTCTTCGTTTCAGCTTTTCGTATCAATCTGTATTCTTGTACAAACGCCAACGCCCCGAAAAACGACACCCAGCTATCTCTCTGTTAAACCCAGTGACAAACACACTATCCAGTTGATTGTAAGCTACTAACGCCAAGGAACAAACTGATAGCAAAATGACACAGTTCACGGACGCGACGGTGCCTATGATCACGCGAAATGATGGTCTCATTTCATCCGCTACTGTGATATTCTGCTGTTTGACAATGGGCGCTATCCGCCCTTCTGCTTGCCTATTTGCCAGGCTGTTATACTGTGCCCGGGTTTATGTTTGCGGGTCAGCCCTATCGTCGCTGGTGATTGCCTAAGTGTTCAGTGCATCCATTGCGTTATGCACCCACTTGTCGCTGCTATCCGCTTTTATGTTAATCGTATTCGCCAGCCGAGCACCGCCACACGACCGTCGATAGATGCAACGTGATAATGACGTCTGCGTGCGTGTCACCGCGTCACAATACCAGGTAACTATTTGAGTAGAGCAAGGCTCCGCCGACAGTGGCGGCTTCAGAAGTAATAGTAGTAAACGTTAAAGATTTAATGCCACGTTGCCTAGGCGATCAATATGCACGCAGCAGCATAGCGGCGACGAAGATGAAGGCTGCGGTGACGATCGTAGGTAACTGACGCCGTACTTCGTTCAGTCACCATTCGATCAAATATAAGGCACCAGGGGGTCGCAAGACGGAAGGACTTCTCCCAGAATCGACAAGTCCGCCTGCTGCTATTTGAACTAGCTGACCACGATGGCAGAGGCGAACATGTGTGGCCCATCTCATCCTATCCCAGCTACGCTGATACATGACACATATAATGGTAAAGTCAAAAATGAAGAGAGAAAAAGGTATGAAGGGCAAGGCGCGAGAAACCGAAAGAAGGAGAGCGACACTCAGAGGAAGGGTAGTCGACGGTCAAGCGGGACCCACAACATGCAAAACTCTCGGTGCAGGTGTGTCAGGAAGTATGACATTTCGGCGTTAATGAGCCTTCTTTTAAGGTCAACTCGGCTTCTCAACCGGACGCTGAACACCAAGCTATTCTAGCTCTTCGGTAGACTCGGAGCTATCTAGTTTCAGCTGTTTGGTTGTGATTACGACGTCTGATCTCTGACGAGCGGATTAAGCGCATGCGACAGTGCTATTGGAATTGTATTGAGCATTCGTTCCTCTATCCCGCATCTCTCAACAAACACAACTATTCACGCATATCAGATACGCATGTACATGTCCTGACATGTTTACGAAGCCTTAACAATCGTCCGACATTGAGTACTTGCTTTCTTTGCGGCATTCAAAGCCCTAAATAGATTTAACGGAAGACCAATATCCATATCTAGAATCTTTTTGTACTTAGAAATAATAAGTACGTGGATGTTACTAAGAAAAACGTGATTAATAGTATATCAAAGCAAAACCAATTACGACCGCATGCACCTGCTATACACTATATAAAATGATGAGCGATTAGTTTTTTTTTTTATTATTATTTTCTTTATTATTAACCACGGTACACAGTTATCCGCTAAAGCTAGACTGACTTAGCAATACTTATCCTAACTACTTGTCTCGTCTCTGATCAAACATCCGCAGGTTACTCAGGATATTTCATTATTGCCCCACGGATGAGTATCTCGAAGCAATATATTTTTAGTACTAGACGGCTATTTCTATGAGTCCTCGCTGGGACGTTACGTCAATCTCTGCACAAACTGAGCGGTTGTAGTTCCATTCAGGGTTTAAGAATGGCAGCTACCTTTGCAAGCAGAAAGCCGATACCGATATCCTATTTTTGTGTGCCTGTCTATCCTCAAAATGGACAAAGATGCACGGATGGCGCTAAGAGAGCATGAACACTGGTCGGTCAGGTGGTCGACGGATCCATTCACCTCCCGCAAGACCAAGCACTATAACCGCATTTACCTTATGGGTTAGTATAATTTCAGTATGCAGGTTGTGGCAGGCTCCAGGCTGGAGGTACAGGGGAAAAGCGGAAAGCGTGTTCAGGGTGAGACTCCGGCCTCTGCGAAAGCTAAGCGAATCCCGATATACTGTAGCTGCTGCAAGGTCTTTAGCGAGGTTTGCCAACCACCGCGCCTTGATCTGGCTGACTGGTTCCGTTGGCACGGCTAAAGCCCTGACCTAATCTGAACAACAGCGACAGACTGCTGACGCTCGTCGTTTCAAATGGTCAAACAGTTCCCGATTTTCGTCCCAGCCCACTGTTACGGCCATGTTGAATCGCGCATCCTACGCGACGCCGTAGTATAGCTGAAACCTGCCGGCATAGCTGGTTTCTATCTGGCGCGTCTTGTTATAACCAGTATAAATGGGGTAGGCTTACGCCATTGAACACACTCCTTGGCCTATGACGGAACTGACTTCGGGCCTGGTCTTTCGACCAGACGCAGACTAATTCTTCCATACGCGCTACTTGTTAGGCCCTGCACGCCGTTAGCGTCCTCCAACTATTCGTTGCCCAGAATGGCCCCACCCCAGCAAGCTCTGGCCAGCCCCTATGGTAGCCCCACGCTTTCTCACTTGGCCTCGAAAACTTTTAGGCGTTGCTCAAGGACATTCTGGGCTGAAGCAATGATACATTCACATATCTTGATGGGCAATTAAGCCGACTTTTTATCTTTGCGCTATCTGATTGAGCGGGCTACGAAAAGGTTTTGTTGACAAGTCGAAACGTATTTCTCATTGTTGAATTAACTAGCTACCGGCTCACGATCAGGTAGTATACGTTTTTTTTTTTGCTTCTACTTTTTTTAACGTACGACTAGTTAATGTATTGTATGTATTGATTTTCGTCTTTCACGCTTGCTATTTAAATCGTTAGGCATTCTTTGAGATGGCTGACTCACAGTGTGAAACAATTTGTGTCTGCGGGCAGATTTGAACCGGTACCATCAAGTCGCCCGAGGTTTAGCAAACAAACACGTTACCTACAGCGCTATTATGGGGACTGCTTTCTAATACTACGGCTATAGTATATAAATAACAATAATAATAAGTTAAATAACTAGAATAAAAGGAGATTAACTTCAAACTAAAACTTCAACTTTTATCTTTCTTTTTTTCCTATTTTCAGGATGTATCTGCCCTTTCTAATTGGCAACGCCTTTCCATGCGCCCCACAACGCTTTTGAATCACAGGCTGCGCGATTGTTTTTCATAGACGTAATATTATTAACAGTTATATGTCCTAATACAAGCCGTCTAGTCGATTACCGGTAGTTGAGTTAATAATATAGGATGCTATATACGAACTGGACGTAAATATGCTTCTGTGAAAAGAACGGCGCGGGACGCTGCTATGGTACACGGTGTGGTAAGCTAGCTATAATTTACTAACCTTTTTTCCGTCGAGTTCGTGAGGTCCATTGGCTAAGACTTTCTCGACGCTAGCGGGATCGGCGAATGTTACGAAACCGAATCCCCTGTAAGGTGAATGATGAATACAATTATTGCTAAAATGTCACGGTCAGAAGAAGATATATACTATTGTTATTGTAAACATTGTTATTAACTGTGATGTTATGAAAAAAACGCGAGATTAAATCATACCACTCCATGCTACCTAAAAAAACACCTCTGTTCTCGAATGTAATTATTCAATAATGCAGAAAACGTAGTGCTGAACTAGTGACAGCCATTGGGTACTTGCGTTTCGAACATTGTAACGGCCATGGTAGCAGCACACTTAGACTTGTTACACAGGATAGGTTTTAGCTGTACGTACTGCTATAATATACAACAGGTCGTTTTTCGTCTTACTGTACACAACAAACATTTGTTGTATGATGAGAGGTGGCCTATTTTGTTTACGCCTTCAGCTGTTACTGATTCTACTTTGGCTTTGAGCGCCCTGCCACCCCCACGTACTTCTGCTGAAGCATTCATAAGCTCGTCGCCGTTCGTATTCCGATAGTTTTGACCAAATTTTACGGACCGAACGCGTCACGTACCGTCTAACGGCGTATGTACCGCAAAAATATAACGGCTTCTCTCGGTAGTACCCATCTGAAGCGGAAGCCGGTTAAACTGCTGAGAAGAGAAGAAAACAAGTTCCTTTAATAGCAATAAGAATAAGCTACTAAGCCAATAAGCGGCTTAACCTCTTCAAGGATTGCGAAGAAAGGCACCGCGAGCTAGTTCAGCTGGTCGGATGCAAAGATGGTTCAATGATGGCTCGACAGCGTGGGTCCGTACTCCACATCAGCAGGGCACCCCAGAAGTTACAGAGTTGGGATAAGGAAGACGCTAAACTGAAAAAACAGTAGTAGTGAAGGTAGCGCATCTATTGAAAAAAAAATAGAAGAACAAAATATTGATGACTGAATGTTCTCCCTTCGAAGATGTAGCAGACGCAGCCCCGCAGAGTGCTCCTAGCCCTTAAGGCTGCCTCTAGTACAAAGAAGGCTGCCTCAACGGTGCCCGAGTGTTGCCTTAGCCAAACTCCAGTTATGCCAAAAGGGAACGAACGGGTATTTTTCATTAGACTCATACCGCTAGAGCTGTTGGTGGCGATGCTGATGGCGTTGTCGTCATTGCTACCCATATTCCATCCTATTTTTGACACGTAAGCTTTCTAGTTATCCTCTTGAACATGCTATAGCGTAGCGTCGAGTATAACGTCGAGTTGCATCAGCAAAATTAGTAAACAGAAAGGGCACAGAGAGTTCCTTTCAAAATATCACTTGTTGCTGTACAATAAAGCGAAGCAATTTCAATGTACTGCCAACAATAGCTGATCCTCTACTCTTAGGTTCTGAGTGGTCGATTCGACGACGAACTACATGACGGAGCGCGTGCGTAGAGAAAACGGGGATCATATGGGTAGAACCGTTTTCCGCCGCCCACGATTCCTTCGTAAACCTGAAGAAAAGAAAATAGTGTCATCGATAGAGGAAACGAAGTGCGTAGGCTTGGACGGAAAGAAACAACTAGAAATTCATCGTCATAACGTGTTAAAATAGTGATGATGTTTAGAACTTTTCGGTCAAAAATAGCCTTCTAGAAAAAATCGAATGACCCTATGAACCTGAGCGGCTGGCACCAAATTGAAACGATTATTGAGAGCTTACTAAGTGAGCTACTGAAGTAGCCCCGCACAAACGAACGCAGTTTTTGCGCTCATGACCCCCACATATGTGTTCTGCTGATAGCAGTGTTCTCCCTCTTCTTGGAAAAACAGCATAACTTTATTAAGAACAAGTATTTGTCACGTACGCCAGTCTTACGTTACACCACGTCACCTAGAAAAATTTGCTCAATCCACGAAAACACCTGTGACGTAGTGGTTGTTGACCAGATCTTCACAAGCTATATTTCCACAAGGTATATATAGCTGGATTGCACACTTCTGTATCCCCTTGACAAGACCTGATAGGCCAGTAAACAGTTCTGACCTAAGCCTAAGCCACATAAGGCTCGACTGACGCAATACATATTCACATACGAGTTTACCCCAAAAAGATGTTCCAACTGTTGCCTATGGCTACGTTCGCGTCTACTATTGCAGGTTAGGTTTCTTCTTTCTTTTTGGCCTACCCGATATCTCCATCAATGCAAAATCTGAAAGTGGTCATCTTCAGCAAGCGGGAATGCTTCCCGGCTTCCCCAACAAGATACAATGGTGAGTCTTTTCTCTGGCGGCTTTGTCTCGCTTCAGCCGATTCTTTCCCCACCTGAGACCCCGTTGGAGTGCCGAATGCCTCAGGCCTCCTCGCCGCCCCAATGCATCCCATCTTGCATCTCCAGTGCCAAATCAACCCTACGAGTTGCCTCAACTCGCTTTCCCTCTTGCACTTCGCCTTCGAAAACTTGTCTTGCTGAGCTGCTTCGGAAAAGCTCCCAAAGCTCCTCTTATATATGTCCAGCAGCCTGCAACACTATGACATCAGTCACTGTATGATCATAACAGGGCTTCCTTAACCGAGAAAAGAGCCAGTTTTCATCGCCACGCTTTCAGGTTCCATATCAAATATTGAAGCATCCGTGAAGAGCTACGCTCGACATCTCACTATACAAGTCATTTGACATCTTCTTTTTCCTACTTTCTGCACATAAGAAACCTTACAATTACCTTAGTTGGGTAAGAGACAGTAACAACGTATCTGAATACACAAATGCTGAAAGAACGGGACTTAGATTGTGCATACCGCTTAGCCTGAATCTTAAGCATTTTCAACAATTTATGTCGTTCGCCTACTCAACGTGCAGGTCATAATTAATGACGGGCCTGATTAAATTATCGAAACAATGTTATCCTAACTATTATTGTTAAAATCAATGCCGAATAAGACCTAATTTCAAATACCGATATTCTGCTCTTGCTACATTACTATCTGTACATTAAGGTTTAACAATCCGGGGTGAGGAACAATATATAGTAATAATAATATTTCGATAAAAATGATCGGAGAATTCAAATGAAATTGATTTGCCGATGTCGGATAACGGCTGAAATGAGAAAAAAAAAATCGCCAGGCTATACCAGGCGACGATAGGCAAACATTTCACGCAGAAAAATAGGGCGCACTCAGAACAAGATTAAATAGGCCACACTTAGGTTTTATTAGGTCAGGAGAGTCTATACCCTGCAAGTCCTGCACAAGAAATAAAAATCCTAGAATCATATCGGCATACGCCAGCGCATGCGCAGTCCGTCATGTGCTGCCTTTTCAAAAAGTAGAGCCTAATAGCAGCAACGGACAAAGACCTCTAACTCCATTATGCAGTAAACTAACTCTGGTATGGCCTATAACAGCTACGGAAGCCAATTGCAAGAGTGTTGGTATATTATGTAAAACCGTGTTCCATTACGCTTATTTCAACCACCTAACAAACCTTGTTTATATATCCACAAAAGCCTGTTATTCTGTATATATATCCAATGTGTTATAGAATAAAACGCTGCACGTACAGCACGGTAAAAAGAAGATCCGTGCAGCGTTAAATGACGTGACCCATTTATTTTATACGTATCATATTTTTTTGCTAAGCTCCGTGCTTCACCTGGGCGCACAACTAATATATTGTTTGCAACGTTTGCGATAATTAAAAAATTTTTAACAGTACGCGTTTTTGGGCCTGATCCTAACCACTTATGTGCCGGTACGGCCACGTTACAGATACTTCCGAGACCGATCAATTATTGGTCAATAGCGAACTATAATTTACTTGAGCTTTATGTACTGACGACAGCTTGAAGCCCGACCTGACACCTTGAAGTAAACCACATGAAATTACCTTCGGTATACTAGTGATGCTAGCATATCCACAAATACTCCTCGCAGAAATACAATACGCCTGCGTTTTGTCTGTCGTTTTCATGGTGCTCAAAAACATCGCTACTGACCGCAATGAGTGAGGCAAAGCAGTCGGAGAACCACTCACGTTGGACAACTTTATATATAGTACGTATCGCCGGCGATACCAAAGCTGGTCAGGACCAGGTTTATGAAAATCAGCCGATTTTCATATAGGGTAATAGTTGTTATATTTGACTTTCAAATGATTATGAGTCGATTACCACTATGCAGAATAGCTTGCCGAACTCTGCTATTCCCCTGCCCATAGCAGACTCTCATGTCGGCCCAATTGAGGTAGCCCTTTTGAACGAACGATCCGCTGCACTCCATAACCGTTCCGAAACAAGTAGGTTACAGTCAGCCCTAACCACCTCCACCCTATAATCCAGTAGACATCTGCGGGTGTTTGGCCGCTTGCCTGTCGGTTTAACACAAGCCTCACCCGAAACCCGCCCTATGGCTTGATCCATATTTGTACGACAACGCAAAACCCGACAAACGTGTAGATATATTCAAGTTATTAAGGCGTAAACGTTTTGCGAATTCCACTCGATATCTGTTGGTGATTGTAGATATATGTTGTCATATAGTATAGTTATATGAAATTATGAAACACATATTTACATACGAAGGTTCACATCGAATCTTTTCCCTCTAGTTATCTCGTAATAAACATAGATAAACCATCAAATGTTATCAATCCACAAATTAGCATGGCGTTAGTCACCGTCAGAAGGTACCCGGTAAGCCAAATTCTCATAGTAGCCGTAAAGCAATGCTATGGCTAGACGCTTCTTTTGCCTGTTTCTCCGTCAAAGGTCTGAAAAAAAACGTCTATATATGGTGTTCAGTATAACATATATTCCTCAAATTGTCTATATGTGCTGCGTTACGATGCAACAAATGTCTTGCAGTCAGCTAAACGGCGCACGATTCAAGCAACATTGGACCCGTTGCCGGCTTACTAAATAGATGTTCTTAACACTGGATTTATCTAATCAAATGGATAAATCAGTGTCATCGTCGGTGTGGCGGGTCCGTCTTCGACGAACAGGATTTTTCTATCTCGTCGCTCGTTATCGCTTTCCTCCGCTTGCTAAGCTTTCAAGTTTTTGTTTTCTATC